AGATTATGTCTCTCACAGTGGACATGCACCTACAATGACAATTCCAGTCCCATCCATGATGTCTAAGTGGGAAAACATGCAAAATAGAAAGGGTTCAAATACTTATTTTCCTCTTTGTACATGGCGATGGTTTTAAATGGGGCACCTTGAACAGCTCCTAATCGTAACACTCCTGCTGCAGCCTCATAGTTTCACTAAGGGAGTTAAGCCACTGCTAGTTTACATTAAAACCATATATTTTTACAGGTATAATTCCAGAATGTGTAAACCATCTCTCATCACTACACCAAATTTATTCAGCCAGCCAGATATACCCAAAGAAGAATAAATGGCCATTTCTGACCGAACTCTTGGTTTTGAAAAATGACCCTACATTCCCTTATTTGAATAAAATTGTAGTTTTTAAAGTGTTGAATATAATGCCCACAGAACACACTTAGCCTACCAGGTTGCACAAAATACTTTGAGGCCAATCCTGCTCCTCCAGATGCAATGCCCTGCAGGGTTTAGATATTTCTGTGCTCCATCTCACCTCATTGAAAGGAATTATTTACTTTCAGTCTACTAATCGTTCTGCAGAAAAATACTTTAGAAGAATGCTTTGGAGTTGGTAAGCAGGAATGGACCAGCCAGTTTTAACTGAAAAGGTTTGTTGATCACAAAGCTTCTTTAACTTTATTATTAACAGATCCATTTTAACTTAAAATTCTAAGGGGTATTTTTTTATACACTCCTAGATTCTATTCAATTTCATTTTATTATTTTCTATTACATTCTATGTCAGACAATTGTGGGGATTTCCAAACCAGGGGAAAACTGTTCAAATATTTACCAGGTACAAAGCAGCGCGTTGAACTTTGCCCTGCAGGTCTGTGCGCGTTCACACCTGGTTTACAGCTGCAATCAGGGATACCATAGGAAACGTTTACAAGAGTTTGCGCGCTTTGTTTTTGTTGCGAATCACTATGGCAGAGTAAACTGCAGCGCGTCCCTCTGTCAAAGATTTTCAAATCAAAGCCAATAGCTACATTTATAGGTAATGCGCGTGCCCGTTTTAAACAAACGCCTGGGCGAGAACGCGGGCGCGCCCTGGAAAAGAATTTCTGGACGCTGCGCGCCGCAGGTGTTCTGACTTGTGAGCAGCAGAAAAGGCTTATTTGTGGTTTTCTTTAAGTGGAATTAGTTTAATAATCAACCCTATCTTGAAGACATACAATAAAATAATTTAGAATATAAAAGTAGAATGCCAAACTAATAAAATATGATGTTGTGGTACGTTCATGGTAAGATTTAGGATTAAAATAAATGCACCGAATATTTAAAGCGATGGGATTAAAAAGTTCTCCAGGCTTTTAAAATGTGACAGCGCTAAATATTAAAGCAGTTTTCAGTTAAGGAAGTTTGAAACATTAAACAAACAGGAAAGAGAAAATAAATATTCTTCTTGATCACATTCTTCTGTTGGCACTGATATATATTTATATATATATATATATATATATATATATATATATATATATATATATATAAAAACCACATCTAAAAGTTACCAAACGTTTAGATAAATCACTGAAAGTAAGAAGTGAAGTTATTTTGTGATTGTATAAAATCCCTTCAAGTCAGAATTAATTTGCAATGTCTCTAAGGAAAATATTGTTTTAAATTTTTAGACCGACAATTTACCTGTATTGCTTTCAACAAGGTTTCCCACTAGAATTAAATATTAATACATTTTTTTTCAGTTGCTACTTATATAAAATTTAATTTTCATTTAAAAATACATGTGTGTATTCATAATTTGAAAAGCATAAACAAAAATGCTCTTGTAGTCCGCCTCACGCTCTTATGTATTTCAAATTATTATTTTTTTATATATAGATTATTGATCAGATTATTAATTAGGAGCATATTTATAGATGCTATTAATCCTAATCCCATTCTTGCAAAGAGTCCTATCAGTTTAAGCACACAATGATCACTGCAGCACTTGTCCTGTGGACTAATATCAGTCTAATGGGCAGTAATATAGATATGAGGATTTCTGCAGGTGTCAGAAAACAAGATATGGTGTTGACTGAATAGGCCTCCACTGAGCTTCTGGATGGAAGGAAACGGTGCGTGACGTCATGTTATGCCTTAAAGATCTATGGTCATAAGTGAGTTTAATTTAGGAATTTGTTAAAAATATCATGCTAACACAAATATGGTATAAGTAATACAGATATTGTGTTTATGAGCCTGACATGTAAGCATATCATACTTGTTTATTTTATTTTATCATATCCTTTAATAATATTTATTTAATATATTTTTTTTGTCTTTGATGAATAGATTAAAATCTGTAAATTCATTTCAACAGGGGTAAATAAACCTGCCCCTCCCTCCTTGCGAGTCTTGTTAAATAAAGACTCAGTTAGAGCAAGTGTTTGAAATAAATCTATTTTCTTTGGGTTTATTCAAACAAACATGTTACATTTTGCACATGAGAACTTTTAATCAACTTTTTTTTCTATATACATTCAGGCTAAAGAACTTCTGCACAGTCTTACATTATGATACAAAGCACGTCAAGTTAAACATTTGTTGTTGTGTTTTTCTTTCATTTCAGCAAATAAAATGAGAAGCAGTTGAGGAGTCAAAAAGTGTGGGTGTCACCCCACGAAAGCACACAGAGCCATATATAGAATATATACAATAGATGTCAGATTTCTTCTTTTTTTTTCTCCATTCAGATTAACACTATTTGAGTGTTTGTTTTTTGTTTGTTTGTTTTTTTGTTTGTTTTTTTCTTATTTCACATCCTCCCACCTCTAGTGTTTAAAATCCTACAAGAGGCGCTGGGCAATTCGTCTCTCCGCCGTTTCGTACCGACATTCCATGGTACGAAATGGAACCGCAAGGGTTTCTTTTCAATTCACTGTTTGTTAACTACTCATCAATTCACTGGAAAAAAATCTAAATCTAGATATGTAATTTTTTCTTAAAGTAAGTGATTTTTTTTTCTTGAACTGAGAAGGTAAAAAAAAAAAACGTTTTCCAATGGAACAAGACAATTTACACTTAAAATAAGAAAACACAATTGCATTGTCTTATTTCAAATGAATTTTATCTGATTATATTATTTTAAGAGAAAAAAAATACCTATTCCATTGGCAAACTGTCTCATTTACCTACTCAAATTAAGGGTAAATTCACCTAATTTAAGAAAATTTTACCTATTTATTTCTAGATCGTTTTTCCAGTGTTTCTCTCTATCAAATTTTTCATTTTAGTAGATTTCTTAATTTCCCTGAACTTTTTAGACAGAAAACGCAACCGCCTGGTGGTCCTTCTCTGGTAAGCCTACTCAGAAACAAAACAATTTTAAAATATCAGGTCGTACAAAGTTTTTTTTTAAAATAGAAATAATTACATCTTATGAAATGAAATAATGCCTGGGATTTAAATTTTTTTTTCATTTTTACAATCATGTATCTTCATCATTAAATTGTCTAAGTGCATTGGTACGAAATGGAAGTGGGGGAACGACGAAATGGAGGCTCGAAATAGAGCCAAAAGCCAGCACAGAAAGAAGGAAAAAAAAAAAATCATTTTTTTTTTTATTTTTTTTTTACTTATTTTAGACCTGTATATATATTTACATTTAAATATATACATTGCAGCAATGTGACACCTCTTCATTTTTAGATCCAAAAAGCTGGATGTTTGAATTGCTGTTCAAGTTCATTAGTAAACATGTAACCCGCAAAATCCATTTTTTCTCTTTTACGAAAAAATGATCGCAAGTTGTTCCAGTTTAGTTGTCCGTTGCCCATCATTTCGAACATGCGGTTGTGTAACATTTAGGGGCCCCGTTGGCTCCGTCAGCTGTTGTACTGACAGGCATTGAGGCTGGAGCCGGGGCTCTGCAGCCCGCTGTATCCGAACGTGGGATGCTGTTTGGACTTGAGTCTTAGAGTGGCCAGGCTGGAGTTACAAGTGTCCCGGTAAACGCTGTACGGCGAGCCGGGGGGGCCATACGGACACGCCGAAGAGGACATGGCCGAGTTGATACCGGAGGTACCGATGCCATTCAGGTTGCTGATGTTGTTGAGGCCCGGGGCCGACATGCCGGGCACGGCGGAGTGGCCCATCCCAGAGGCCATGCTCATGGAGGAGATGGAGTTAGGAGCGGAAAACATGGACTGGGAAGTAAGCGGGCTCATTGAGTTGAAGAAGGTGAAGTTCTTGGTGGATAACGGCGCCGGGGTCAGGCCCTTGTTGGTCCAGTTATTGTAAGTGTAAGCAGGGTACATGTCGTCATAGGGCTGCATGAGGCCGCTGAACTGCGGCAGGTAGCTGTTCTTGCACAGGTCCATCTGCTGGTTGCGCTCCCGCTTCCTCCACTTGGCCCGGCGGTTTTTAAACCACACCTGCAAGGTACACAGGCGTTATAGTAGGAATAAAAAGCACCCCCTCCCTCCCTAACAGCAACAATCTTCATTATACAGCTCAGCTTATTTATATAGCGCCAAATCACAACAGATGTCATCTCAGAGCAATACACAAACACGCCTCATTTAGATGCACCTATAGAGAGTTTAGTCCACATCAATTCATGTCTCTGCGTTCCAAATGCACAGTCCAATGAAATGCTAAATAATAATAATCAGCTACTCGTAAAGTTTTAGAAAAATTGATAAGTAAAGTAAAAAAAATACTTTTAGGTCCGAATACAGAGATAAGCGGCTTTGGTTGAAGCAATGAAATGGAGATTATTCACGTTTGAATGAATGCCGAGCGAGAAAATTATTAGAATTTGTTTATTGGAAGAGTTCACTTTAAATAGACGTTCAACTGTAGCAAATACATTTTCACAAATCTTATAATTAATAATATATTTTTCAAGATTAAATATATATTTTTTTATTCAAATGCAATATTTTATTATTTGAATGTATTCAAATTAATAATTGTTTCTCTTATTTTTTTTTTCAATCGTTTAGTACTTTATGACTTTAAAGTCATTTACAAAGAAAAAAAAAAGATTAAATTAATTTCTTAACAAAGGTTGACGTTCCAGATTAGTTTTAGTAAATATCTATATTTATTTATTAATAATCTATATTTAACTAAAGCATCAAAATCTGTTTATCAGGCATAAGATGAAAGGCTTAAGTTAGTCAACTAATTTTAATAATTTCTGCAGCGGATCGTGTCTAAAACGCTTGAAACATCAAATTCAGTCACTTCATATACAATTTAATGTGAGTTTATAAAATAAAGCGTTTAGGCTCCTCGGATTTCAGTAGATTAGTTTAAAACGCAGAAAAGGGGACTCTCAGGAGGCGATTAAAAGAAGAAAAAAACTTAAAAACACAACTTTATGTAGCTTCTCAACTAACCTTATAATTTCCAATAAACATTCTGAGTTTTCTAAAGAAAGCTGAGCACAGAATCGGTGGATTAACAGGAAGCTCATCTCTTTGTTCCAAACTGCTCCTTTATGTCTGTTTGCATTCGCTTTTCAACAGGCCGTAAAGTTTTATCTGAAGTTGCGACACTCTAAGAACACATTAAAGTGTGTTACTGTGCTTTTTAAAGTCTCACTCAACATAATTAGTGTTTAAACTTTGATTAAAATTATTATATATAATATGCATGCAAAATAAAAGACGAATTTGCACTTTTTGAGGTTAAATTAACATTGAGGGCCTCTGGATTGCAACAGCAATCGGAAAGCAGTTTGGGATTTTTTTTTTTTTTTAATCAACCACTGAAACCCTTTCTAAAAGGACCAATCAGGGAGGATTTAGAACCGAAAGAAGGTCATGGATTCACAGAGAAAAAAAAGAGAGAAAAATCTTTGGCAATACGATTAAAACATAGTTAAAATAAAAAAAAACCCTTTATTATATAATCTGCTTATATAACCACCTTAAAAACGTATATTTTAACAAATGCGCACAAATATCTTGCATTTCTCCTTGATTCATCAGAAATAAACAGCATTACTGACATTAAAATTCAACCTGAAAGTCCTTCTGTTTCTACCCTTCAAACCCTGGTATGCATTTTTTATGCAACTCGATCCTGTGGATCTTCGTGCGGACTGCCTGTCAGGCGCCGGTTGCTGTAAATGAAAACCAACTGGGATTGTTTGCTTTTGAACGCACGCTGCTCATAACCATGTCTCCCTCTTCCTCCTTTTCCCCCCTTCAAATATGCGTGAAAACAATTTAAATTATGAAAATAATAGGTTTCTGATCATTGCGCTGTTAATTGTTCTCTGATATAACAAAGTTTCTGAATTCATGTTCTAAAGGTGCAGATTTGGTCAAGCCCACTCAAAGCTGTACGCTCTCAGACAAAGATAAATAATCCTTTGCCTCCATATAGTTATTACACTATTACTAAAGAGTCCACTGTCTTCACAAAGCTTAAATTATATGTGAACATAAATATTTGGCTGTAGTGCGTTCAGTGTCCTTCTGAAGGAAAATTTGGTTTTAGAAATACGAAAACTGACAACAGGGAGTGTTTAAAATCTAAATCTACTCTATAACAGAACAGCTTCTTCCTCAAATCGCGTATTTTATGCGTCAACGTTTCGCACGAACATTAATCTTTCAAAAAAGCGGAACAAAAACGCTTTTAAGATCATAAAGGCCAAAATAACCTCACCTGGAAGGAGTATAATGGAGTATAAATTTTACTAAGCGTGCCACGATCCAATATGAACCTTTGTGAGTCTAAATTTTCCTTAAAATAAGCAGGATATTTGAAGCTTATCCAAATACATCAGGAGAGTGAAAAATTAAATAACCTCTTGGTTCAGTGGTGGAAAAAAAACAGTATAAACTGCTAGGAGGATTATGATACATCGATGCGTAATGTTGTCATGGGTGCGTTTTTACGCACAGCCCCACGGGCCTCTTACCCGCACTCTGGCTTCGGTCAGGTTGGTCCACACGGCGATCTCCTCCCTGGTGCTCATGTCCGGGTAGCGGTTCCTCTGAAAGGTAGCCTCCAGTTCCTGCAGCTGCTGGCTGGTGAAGTGGGTCCGCTGCCGTCGCTGTTTCTTCTTCTTGGGGTCATCCGCGCTTCCGTCATCGCTCCTGTGCTCAGCGCTCCTCTCCTTTTCTACGGGAAATAAAACAAACAGCAGAAACTATTAAAGAACTGCGGCGCAGCTTGGATACAGCTCATCCAGCTGTTCTGCTCTGTGTTGGTTCTGTCACAGTGCTGGATTTCTCACAGGGATTAGGTTTCGCAGCTTGCAAAACAGCAGAAGGTTTTAACGGGTGGGAAGAGTGAATGGAAGGGAGAAATTTGCAAATATTTTCATAAACTCCTCACCAGTTTATGAAAGGTACATATTCAAATATTCGCTTACATCGCTGCCATTTACAACTGATTTAGGTCTCATTGATAAAATCTTTACGACAAGATCAGGCCACTGTTATCTCCGTGGTGCAATCATGTATTCTTGTTAAACAGAGAGGGGGCACACGTGCAAAGGCAAGCCAGTCACACATGGTAATCGTGTAAAAAAAGAGATCCAAAAGTAAAATAAACATATTTTCCAATTTAATCAAGTGTCTCATCTAATAAATCAGGAAAAAAATGCGCGTTTTCTTCTTTAGAGACGTGGAAGAAAAACAAGCCTTTTGTTTTGATTTTATTGGAGACCTTAAGGTTTGGATTGATAGAGAAGGCCCGGGAATTTATAGTTTGTTTAAAACGTTTACTGACTGCAGGCCAGACTGTTCCGCACATTTTTCCGTGACATAGCCCAGGATCCTGCTAAGTGATTGGTTCAGTGAGCGCCAGGAACAAGTAAAACAAGGGGTGTAACTGCACCAAAACTAAAACCTCTCCAGTTCTGCTTGTGAGCAAGGGAGAGTAAGTTAACCTCCTGCTGCAGATCAAGGCGCATTTTACGCATGAACAAACACACATTGATACAGCGGGTTCTGAAGAATTCATGAGAAAGGATTCAAAAGAAGAAGTAGAGTATAGCTGAAAGCCAGCTGGTTGCATCTACCTGCCAGCTCTGCGTCTGAGGACTCGCTGCTTGAGTTCTCTAACGTTTCCCGGCTGCCCTCAGAAGGTCTCTGTAAATGAAACGCGGCGGCCACGTCACGGGGCGGCGCGGTTCTCACGGCCTCCGAGATTCTGTCCAAATTCATGCCACCTTAAAGAGAAGGATGCGTGAAAAGGAGAAACTGGGTGAGTCGTGCTCTTGCAGCAGCTACGTGACCGAAGATCCACCCGCCGGGAGATGTGCACCGCGACATGAGCGGCCGAACCATTGACTGAGAATTTCCACGAGAGGTTCAGGTTTTTGTCCCTCAGAAAAGCATAAGAATTATGCAAAGTGGAAAAAAAAAAAAACGCGCGGCCAACGTTTCCTCGTCCCTTTTTTTCTCCCCCTGCAATGACTGCAAGACGCAACCTCCGCTGCAGGGAAAAGCTTCTGTGCGCTCTGACCGAGAGGAAGCTCCCGATCTCACAGCACAGATCCACCCATCTCCTCCACAGAACCTCCCCAAGATGAATAGTCCAACCCACAAGATAACGTCTACTCGGACAAGACACTCTGACGTCACTTTAACTTAAATCTAATTAAGGTCCTGCGAGTTAAACTGAGATAAATGCTCACCTGAACATGGAAATCTTCCATATAAGAATATTGGTAATATATATTATTTAATATATTTCAATCTTTATTTTTATTGTGATCCAAGACGCACTTAATTGATACTTTTTAAACGCGTGACCACAATGGGGATGGAACTTATAACCCTGGAGTTACGCGCGTAAACGGAATGAAATATGGTTTATATGGATAGGTATTCAAAGGGCGCGCTATAAATGAAACAAAATACATATAGTAAATAATTAAACAACTGTTGCGATTTGTAACTTCTCCTTTATTAAATTCATAAGTTTTTTTTCAGTTGCCTTCTAATCATAAGCACGCTTTCAAACCTTTTTTTTTTTGTGTGTGTGGGTTAAAATGCCTTTTATTCATGTTTGGGTACGTTCCTACACACCTTACGTGCGCAGTTGTATAATATCTCGGATATGTACTGAGCTGAGTAAACATTTACTCTCCACCACCACAGGCCTGCCCGTTACTGTTCCCCCTGTGAGAAAAGCGCACGATGATGTGGAGTTTATTTTGTCCGTATGAATGATGAGCGCTGCGCTCTGACAGGAGCTGCCCTCAGCGCACTGATTCAACGCCAGAGATGATGAATGGCTCATTACACCTCACTCTACTGCCGAAAGGCTGTGATTACTCTCACATTTATATCTTTTTTTTTTGCTTACAGATCAGAGGATAAAACATTGTTTTGACATCTGCTTGTTCTCTTAACTAATGTACGATCAGATTTAGAAGAAACTCCAAACGTACGCGCTAAAACGTTGACTACTCCCTTACGTTCGCAGTATATGACTAATGAAGCGCTAAAAGCCTGCACTTGGATGAAGCTACTAAGGATGGCACCGTTGACCTCAATGCGTTTAGTTGGCGCTGATGCACACAAAGCAGCCTGGAGTTGTGTGGAGCAGAGGCTGTTGCTGTTTCCCCTGACTACATCGTCTCTACCCAAATGCGGCAATTAAACAGAAAAGCACATAAAGATCCACTTTTAGATATTTAATGTGCCTACACTGGTGCCATGCGGATAGAAGGAAATAAGTATTTCAACTTTGAATAGGTAAAAAGTATTTAAAAGCATTTGGAAAGCATGTGTTCTTTCACCTCTCATACAATTTTAATGGGCAGCCAGATCGTTATGAAGCAATGTTAGCAGCATGGTGCTTTTGGTATCCCTTTTTTCTCTGTAAGAAAAGCCATATATATATATATATATATATATATATATATA